CTCGATCGGATGTTTAGGGAGCTCTCGGCGGCGGTCGATCTGTGGCCGGGAATAATCGCATGGTTTCCACTTAACATTTCTTATAATTAAATTTTAAAGCGAATTTAATATGTGATAAAGTCGACAACAAATTATTAGTTTTCGATATGAATATTACAATAATGTTAATGTAAAAAAAAAAATTAAAATTATAAGAATATAATGATTAATTTTAATCATTTTTAAAATAATTAAATTATAATAATTAAGAAAATATAATTTAGTAATTATAATATTAAAACATTTTTATAATAATTAAAGTTATTTTTAAGAAGGTCACGATAACGCATTTTAAAAAATTAAGCAATTTCTGTTAAGCCATGAAAAATTTATTTATGTCGTGTAACAATTTGCTTTTACATATTTATGATCACGCGTGCAAATGCAAATGAATCGAAATACATACGAAATGGAAACGTTTTACTTCGCGGCAGCTGATGGGTTAATATTTAATTCGTAAGCTCATTGGTTTTCAATTAAATTTGCGTACCGACGAAAAGTCCATTTGTTTGCATGGAATTTACAACGTGTGCGGTTCAACGAGAAACTTTCGTTATCGCAAAAATTATTGATGACGCGAACGCAACGTGCGATTTTGAATAAGGGACAAGTGGGCCGATTAAAGGATGGCGACAGCGCATTAACTTTTTCATTGTTCGCGAGTGTAATCTCTCTACCCTTCGTCGGATCATGTTATCGCCGGACTGCATTTCCATAAATTTGGATTTACTCCAGACCGGCGCGGCGTGTCGGACGATCTGCCACAGCGTGCACAGTCGATTAATTAATAGCCGCTAATTGGCGTGTCACGCGCACTCGTAAAATTTGGCCGAAGACAGCAATCGCGTTCGGCATGGTTGGCTTTTAAACTCATATCCGAAATGAATCGAATAGTCACTCGTCGCGCGTGTTGCATTCCCAAAATGTCAGAGTGTCGTGTGTACGAACATTTTTTTTTTTCCCCAAAAATATGTCCCTCGCTTACTTTGATGTAGAGTAAAACATGAATTTTTCGAAAATGGATTGCAATAAACTGTTATGTCGCATCAACTAGGACAAAATGACAGCAATGCACTATATCGATATTTTTAGAAAGTTGACACGGAAGAATTAACGTAACAAACTATCAAAAAAGTCATTTACAATAAAATAAAAAATATTTCTTTTAAATAAAAAAATTTGCTGAATATTATTTTGTAAACGTGAGCTACAAAAGCTGTGTTTTAATAATTGAAAATACGACTAAATTCCATAGAATGTACATATTTATACGCCGGCAATGTTAGTAATTACACTTCTGTGCCACAGATCACGCAAGCCTGTAGGAAAATGGAGTTCATGCGGTTGTAAACATCGGCCCGTTACACAAACCACCCTCCTCTTTTTGGAATGCGCCTGCTATTTTATGCATCACGCTCTTGTTCTTGACCCGCCTTTAGATAACAGGTGATCAAGCCGACCTATTAACCAACCCATCGTCGTTGATCGTTAACTTACATTTTGGTTTGCGCTAACATCACGCGCGTTACCTGCACAGTAGGTAGTTGTCTGTTGAGGATGCTGTTGATGTGCTGCTCGTGTAATTGAACCCACTAGTCTAACAACAGTGCATATGTTTGTTATACTTTCGGTATAATTTTGATTATCAGAACTTTGAAGAGATATGTTTTCACGATTTTCACGATGTTTTATTTTTTTTTTTTTTTTATGTACATGAAGTAATTTTATATAACGACATTTTTTATTTACAATTTACTTACAACTTAATTAAATTTTCTAAGTGAATAATTTCGTTGTTCAGTAATATGGATTTTATTATCTGTATTTTAAATATATACTATACAATCAGTAACGTATAAATATAAGTAGATTGAGTACTTTGAAAAATTTGTATATTATTTATTTTTTGTAAGGAATCAAAAGATTCATTTCTTTAACAAACTTTATTCTCTTCAAGGTGAATTTTTCGAGGCGAACCATGTATATAAATGAGAAAGCACTTGTTAAATCGCTCCATCAGCAGCTGATCCGAACGAGATGACTTGGTGCCGATGAAAAGGTAGGCAGAATCGTCAGATTTTATTGCTCCATCTTGGACCAGCCGGAGATAAAAAGGATTCTTCTCGTCGCGCCGAGTTTGTTTTCCCAACTTTTTTTTCTTGTCGGATATGTCGATAACTCAACGTCATTTGTCGTTGCCGTCAATACAACAACGGCTATTCATTAAAGTCACTATCCATCCATCAGGGTTACCCATATGATTCTTCCAATTACATCATCTATCAATGCTCAAAACGTAAATTAAGAAATATCTCAGAAATGTAATTCATCATATCATAGCCCGATAAATTATCTATTTTCTGACAGATTGATATTCTTATCTATATAATAATAATATTGATAGTTTAGTCTAATGACATTCTAACACCTTTGTCCTAATTCTTTTGATGTCTCTACAATTTTGAGAATCGATTTTTGATATCTGGAGAAGTAATAATCGTATTTTCATTCTATAAGTATCTCGAATCAAGGAGCATTATTTTTAATTTTTGTATCGTCTTCCGAGTGCAATTCTTCATCGTTTTGCAATCTACGAGATTGCTGATAATAGAGTCTCGATTATTTTCCATCTCTTCAAAATATAAGGATTGGTTAATATTCCACATTCTCGTTGAAATTCACCAAGCGAAGGCTCACTGCCACGAATCTGAAATGCATCACCGAACGAGAAAGCCCTGCAGCCATCGTTGTGTGCATCGTCAGCTTCCGGAACTGCGCGCATCCGTGGTCTTTCTTCCCCTTACGAAGACTGGCGTCGATCATGCAACCGGCAGCTGCTACACAATGTGGACGGATCGAGTCGTGACATCTACGTCGCCGTCTATTCAACTCCGTCGGAAAAATTTCCTTCGAAAACCTCTGTAGAGACCAAATGAAAAAACAAGCTCATCAACTTCACAGAGTATTACGACGCTCAATATTATTGTGTAATTAATTTGTACAATATTACTAATCCCTCCCTTTAAACAATTCGAAACAGACAGTCGCAGGGTTGCCACAAAAGTGAAAATTAGGAAAATATCAGGGAAATTGAAAACAGTCAGGAAAATCAAGGGAAAATCAAGAAATTTTCTAAATTTTTTGAAAAATTAAAATTCTTGACTTTAAAAAAGTTTAATATACATACATCACACCTACAATTTTAGAATACAACCAACTTAACAATTAAATGCAAGCAGCATTAGAAACATTAATAGTAATTAACATTGCTATGTTATTTTTTCAATAAAATATTTGGTGATTTCCAAAATGAGGACGAAAATGCGAACAATTTTAAGATATTACTGAAAGATTCAGGAAAAATTGTGAAATTTTATCTGGAAATCAGGAAAGGATTTTTAGGATGAGAAATTTGTCACAATCCTGAGTCGGAGACTTGTCAATATAGCCTCCATACATCAATAATATTATACAATAATATTATGATCGTCTAGGACTGCTGCCTAAACCGCCTTTACATTTGGCGTTGCGATTTTCGAAAGTCTTTTTATTTTCTTACTCTTGTTTAATTTTGATTCGCGAAATCTCGATTGTCATCGAAGTCTGTTAGACTTACATATTCTACATAGCTTCTGACATCACTCTTCGTCGAAGCTTCGAGGATTTCACACCGATCACGCAAGCTTTATTTCAAGGCGTGGGAATTTTGCCACTCGCATTTTGGAAATCGTCCTATTTACGTTATCTGTCGAAGGAAATTGTAGCGACCCTTTGCGAGCAGATCGCAAATAACGATAAAACGCGCCGAAAATCTCTCTCTCTCTCTCTCTCTCTATCTACTATCGTAAAGCAACTATTTCTTCTAGATGAATTTCGTTTCGCGAAGTTTCGTAGTCGTTTCTTTCCTTTCAAGCTATTCCTGAATGTCAAATACAAGCGGAGTAGAGGAAGCGAACTTTCCTATTTTCGATTTTCTGAAGTTCTCTGCGCTCTGCCACATCCTTTCTTTTCTTACGCCGCGAGATTCTCCGGTGTTTTCTGATGTTCGTATTTACTTCTCGGGCGCAATTCTCCAAAGCCAATCTTTGATAGGAAGAACAAAATTTCCTGCTCGTGCCGCAGCTTCTCTTAAATCGAAAGCTTTCTCTGCGCTGGCAGGATCAGATACGTTTGTCGGTGAATCGTGCTTGCTTTTTTACTTTGTGCTATAAGCACTTTAAAAAGAAGAATCTTCTATTCCAACTACAACCAGTTGCCCTTCCCTTTCTTTTATTATATATGCACCTCATTATTAAATTTCCATGAATATTGGCGAATTTTGAATTGATTTAATAATAGAAGTTTAAAGAACTTTGATTTTGTGTGTGTACAATTTATTACATTGTAAAAATGTTTTAAATTACTAATGTAATTAATTAAACGATTAATTTAATTATTTAAAAAATGAAATTTACGTATTAATTTACAAATTAATACAAATTATAAATATTTAAATTATAAAAAAGTACTTTTTATTAATTTTCTGAAAGAAAAAATTCATTATAGAATTTTACCAAAAAATTTGTTATTAAAATTTAACATAATGAGGATGCGATATCCCACAAATGGAAAGAGAGAAAACGACCTCACATTAATATTGTACTTGTTCGAGTTTATCGAATATGCTGATCGACTGGCGAATAAAAATTTTCTAGATGTTCTAGAAATTTTTACTCCACGAATTCCCTCGCAACAGTTAAATGTTCGATGAGTTAATTCCCAGGCATATCGATCCTAAGTTTCGTAACCGGATATGAAATCGAGTCGCGAACCTCGTCTCGCCGGCTGTCGATGTGCGCCGCGGTTCCTCGAGGAGCAACCTGGAGTCCCACGGAGTGTTTGATAGCAACATAAGTCTTCAAGAGGTAGGCAATCTTGTGTAATTGTGCATGTGCGCGCGTGTCGCGTGTGTGTTGTTGCAGCTGCGGCACTTAGAGGAGTTGCCATACAACGTGGCCGAGTAGGAGCAGCGAGGGCGACTTTTCCAACCAGCGCGGCCGCCTTGGCACTGGCCAGGAATCCGGGGCAACTTGCAGCTGCAGCTGCGGCCACGGCCCTACATCCCTTCGCACCCGCGTAAGTATCGGTCCAGGTCAGGTTGCGTCTAACCGACGTCTAACCGGACGGAGGTATTCCTGTACTCGGAGAATACTCTGTTAAGCGGCATTCTAATCGGTGTTTTTAATTGAATTGAATTATACCACTTTGGAATAATTCAACCCTTCTGTTTCAAGGCATGAATACTCTGGTACCTATGTATCATATTTTGAGCAATAAAAATTTGTTTTGTGCGAATTTTATTGCGTCTTAAGAACTCCTTCGGACAACAAAAGACAGTTTTGTTTTTATCTTGTTCTTACTTTTATATTTTTTGTGGAAATCGTATAAAACACGATAGCGTAAAGATGAAAAATTATGCCTTGACAGGAGAGTTAAGAGTTAATTCGATCGTGAATTGATGGGATCGGAAAGGACGATTTTGCTGAAATTCTAAAAATTTAGCTAGATATCTGAAAATAACTTTATTGGATCATCAAAATAATTGTATGTAGAACGCTAACGTTGATAACATACTGCAAGAAGTTTTGAAATTCTAATAACTAGTTTTTAAGCGTCCTATACATAATTATTTTGATAATCCAAACGAAATTATATTTTCAGATCTGTATCTAGCTAAATTTTTAGATATTTTAGCAAAATCGTTCTTTTTATGCGCGACATGATAATTCGAGTTGTCACTACATTTTTTCCATGTTATGCATTTTCAATAAAACACTGATAAACCATTAACAGAGTACATATTTCTACAGGAACACTTCTATATGATCTAGACCAATCATCTTAAAGAATATCTATATTATGCAGCTTGATATCTTTTGTACGTATCCTTTTCTCTTCTTGGTGAATTTTTTCTTGCAGCGAGTAATCAAGAGCACACCTCGAAAATACTTTCCTGTTACGAAACTTTCGCGAAGGTTCGTTGAACGATAAAAACGGACGTGTGGTATAACGACGATAATTAATTTACGTAGCCAGGGTGTGGAAGAGGTGCGTGCGTCATTAAAGTTTCGAAGGACTTTTTCGCGATAGCCTTTTTCTTCTTAACTTACGATGTACTTACGTAGTTAGCGTGATTTATATACCACTAGTTCTTCCATGCAATAAAGTTTAACTTGTGAATTCAAACGTTAAGTCGCGTTTTCTGACTAATTATGTTATTTATCTTTGATACAATTTACGATAAATAAACTTTTAAATCTAATTTGATCGAAGGATTCTTTTCACTTCTTCCTAAGCACAAATTACATTTTCGATAATCAACGATCGCATTTTCTTTTTAATTTTTTTTTTTTTTTTTTTTTTTCAAATTTTAGCCACGTATTGAAAATTTAATTTTCCGCAAATATCAGTGACTATTGGTGTAAACAACTTTAATAACTCACAGCTCAATGGCGTCCATTTAAACTATATTGCGACTGAATGTGGGAGTATCGTTGAGTATATACACTCCATCACTTCATCGTGCGTCGAAGATCATCGAGTGACATCGAAAATAATCGAGGGAAATTACTCGCTGCAATGAGTTTGCACGCGCCGCTCGTTAAGGCTTTGCCTGTCAATCTCACATGCGTTTGTACACTGCATGTCCACCTTCCCAAACCTATTTCCTGCAAACACCCCCTCCGCGCACAATGCGGATTATAATTTGCCAAAGAGCGTCCGCGACTCGCTCGTTTTTCGCTAAATGGAGACTTGTGACGAGCGGAAAAAACGGAGAACGCTCGATTGCTTCCCTGCCGAGGACGATCAAAGAGGTGGCATCCGGAAAAAAAAGATTTCATTTCATCCAACTGCTCTTTGACTGATTGGAAGATTAAAACGCGACTGTTGAATCAACGCGGTTTATCATGTCGCGGTGATCGCGCGTATTTTTTTTGTTGAAGATTAAAAATTGTAGAATGTAGACACTTTATCTTTTTTTTTTTAACTTTTTATCATTCCGAATTTTTAGGAGCTAGCATTCGCATTGAACGTCAATCGTTCGTTCATTTTAACGTTACGAAATTGGACATGGCGTTGGCAGGAATGAAAAATTTGAATACGGACGAAAATCAATCTTCGAAGCCTGTTACATCGATGCACGCCCCGGCCGCGAAATCGGATTTGTCAAGTCCAATATCTACATATATTGTGTATGTATGTATGTACATATAATATGTATATACATACGTTATGAATTTTAATGTAAAGATCGTATTGTTTAATTTATAACGTAAAGCGAATTATAGAGAAGGAAATGACTTACATTTTATCTCGAATTCATGCAACGTCACACCATGCATAAACAAGTTTCTTTCAAAATCAATATAAAGTTATACTCGTAAAACGTTCGTATAAATTCAGGAATGAATTTTGTTTACAGAGAAATAACGAAAACGTTTGATAGAAATAGCTCAAATATATAGCACAAATATATTTATCCTATCTGATTTGTTTTTGAGTCACGATAGTTCCTTTGGGTTTTAGTAATTTTTGGCATATACTGGATCTAGTTGTTTATCGTTGGAACAAACTTTTTGTTCTGACCTCAAATATCTTATATTATCTACTTGTAAGTATTTTCATGACGTTTTGGGAAATTCGTTCTCTTTATAAAAGTAATCGATTTTCGACACACGCACAATTCGATAATAATTTATATTTGCAATGATAATATATAGGGATACAAAATGTTATCGATAAATGATTATGAAAATTTATGACATAGAAATGGTGTCTGTATATTTTTATTGAATTCAATATTGACAAGGCAAAAGATATGTAACGCGCAGTTTTATCCCGATAAACATTTGCCAGACATACATATTTCAAATAATAATCGTTTTTTATTACTTGTTTTTTCCATGAATCTGAAGGCAATATCAAAGAATCTTAAATAAAGTTGAACAGGACGAATGCGTACTTTTTCATCATTACCGGTACGTTGAATTTACTCCTGAAATTACGCTTACATTTTACGAAATGCGTATGTGCTGTAATAGTGCTTTCGTAACTTTCTTCATTCCTGACAGGGTGCAGTCAAAAACGAATTCGCGAATTCGCATTCCATAAAATCAACAAACTTTTTTTCTTCATGCCTTTTAAAACAAGATTATTACTTACTCAAGTTAAATAGACTTTTAACAACGATCTCCCCCAACGAAGATAATAATAGAAGCGAGCTACTTGTAAAACTAATTCCATTGCGAATGCTACTGTGCGGATGCAATATAAAGCAATCAACCTTTTCCTCGGCATAATTTATGATCTTCGCGCATAAAACAAACTTCGTTCGCGTAGTCGGGGGAGGACAAAGTTTATCGCCTCTGTCGTCCTCCATTATCCTACAAAGCGAGGATTATCGTATCCCAGAAATAAATTTTCAATTTTATTCTCGAACGAACGCAATGTTTAATATGTGACGTCTATTAAACGAGCGTTGTGCATTATTGAATCGGAAGATTAAAGGTTTTTTGAAGTGACAGCTTTTAACCGAATGTCCCTATCGTATTCAATATTAAAGTCTTTATAAATATTTTGCGCGAAAAATATGAACAAACGTCGAATTTGCAAAATACGTTATTTTTTTTAAAGGAGGTATTTGTATAACAAACGAAGGATATTTAATCTTCTTAAATAAAAATAATTGATGGCGCGAATTGTAACGTTAATTACACTTTACAGAGAAAATCGTAAGATATCAGAAATTCAATAATCTCCCCACGGGCGCAGTGGCGGACAAGCGGATAAACCGTTCATTACTCATTGGTGGTTTTTATTTTTTGCAGCGTTTACTACGACCCCTTCCTCGCGGCTCACGCAGCGACGCAGGATCCCAACTATAGGTTGCAGGTGAGACATTTCTCGATTTCCACTAATTCCCGCGAACAATTATTTCTCGCTTCCGGTGCACGTGACCGCAGAGAGAGCTGCGGCCACCGAGACACGAAGCACTCGAACGAGTTTTTAATTAAATCGAAGAACGCGCGTGGTTAAATGGAAACGACGCGATAATCAATCACGTCGCGATCGCCGACTGATAATCGGCTATTAATCGGAAAACAAACCCTCGTGAGCGTTGACGCGTTTTCATTATGTTGCGCTATACGGATAAGATATAGGACGGACATAATTAATCGGGCAATCGGAAGATTATCACCGATGGAATCTATACAAAGCGATTGGACGCAAGCTTGTAGTGGTATATATCAATCATACATAATTCGATAAAACTTTGATAAATTTCTTTCATGAATTTCTTTCTACAGACAACTTTTTAGTGGTATTTAGAACAAAAGCTTTGTCAGCGAATCGTCTAATTTTAAATATTTAAATAATTAAACATAAATATATTATTGAAATAAAATTACTCGCGTAATTAATTAAAAAATCAGGTTTATTACTATTAAATCTATAGTGTCAAATTTAACCTAATTTAAGTTGCCACTGCTCCTACTCAATATATCGTTATTTTATATGAAAACAATGAATAAATTCGACACTATATAGTGTCAAATTTATCTATTGTTTAAACAGTGGCGACTTAAATAAAATTTGATACTATAGGTAGATTTAACATCAGTGATTATTTCTTTCCTGAAATTTATCTTCAAAAATTATAATTTTTCATTATATATAATTATACCTCTATTTTCTGAAAATAAATTGATAGAAATAATTATCACCACAAACGAAATTAAAGTCGATGGTAAAATAAAAATATTTTTCATAACCGTATCAATAACCATGTGGTATTCAAAAGAGAACTGTAAGGAGTTCGTAATATCACAGTCGTTGCGATGTTAACCACTTTGTGCAAGCTCGAAATATTCTCGACAGTAAACGTGGCCCGCTCCGAAAACGCAAACGGAAAACGCTTATTCGCACGTGCACCGGAAGCAGAATGCGGCGCAGTATCTGTAAGACGAGACAAATGAGCGCAGAGATTTTGACTAAAGTCCGTAATCTCTTGGTGGACCCGTTTAGCTGGAATGGCCTCAAGCAACAGCTGACGTTAGTTGACACACATTTTGCCAGGCTTGCACATACGAGAGAATGCCAAAAGAGAGAAACCGATAACAATTACACCATCCCTATCTCGTGTTCTCCATTGTCCCGACCATTCGTCATTCTCATTGTATCTCATTTTTCGCCTATCTATTTCGTTCTCTTTTCCTCTTTCTCTCTCTTTCTTTCGTTTCATTCACGTAAAAATCCCCGATGCATCCGATGGTACGATTGATCGGGCGTGGGGGGGGGGGGGGACAGCGAGCACTGTTAACTACTGAGATGATTATTTTTACCCCGATGATTCCGTCTCTCTAACACCATTCCCGCGTGAATGGATTTTACATTCAATTTGTCGACATTTCTTTTGAAAATTAACTTTTTGTCGAAAAACAATGTCGAATAATGTTTACAACTGTAACAAACGATTGTCGATGGCGAACACTTCAATTTTTTTGGCTCAAATCGCATTACTAAGAAATTGTTTTTAATAAGAAATTTAGTTTAGTGACAAATACGTCGAAAATTAAAGAAATATTCAATGAATTAATAAAATCAAAATATTTCAATAAAGTCAAATTTAAGATTTGTTCAGTAAAGAAGCAATATAAAAAGTAATTTCTGCTACATATTTTTAGTAATATGCAATTATTTTTTTAACGTGTATTAATAAAAACATTTTTCCAGATGGAACTTTTAACAGGAAAGAAAAAGGAGACAATATCGACTTTAAAAAAGCTATACTTTTTAATATTAAACGTTTCGAACATTGCATTATGTATAATTTATATATATCGGACCAGTTCGTGATTTTTTTTAGAACAATCAAAATAAAATTCACATTTGTTTATACGAGAGTTCTTCTCTGCTATCTCTCGATTGCGCGGCATCTTGTTGCATCTTGTTGCCACTATTCCATCCACCTTCGCATCATTTTTGTTCCTGTTTCTCCTTCTTTATATTAATTTTTCTCCTATCATCTTTTACAGTTGTTTAAAGGGATGATTATTAATCGACAACATATAATCACGGGGACCAATGAAAGAAAGAGTGGATGGTAGATGACACTAACGTCGATTGTACAGACTTTCGCGTTTGCATCGAGAAAGGGGGGAGTTAACTCGCTTAAAACGAGGATTTAATTCCTTCGTATAAAAACTCGAGTTCGAGTTTCCGCCGTCCGGTATCCTTCCGGAATTTCTTTTCAGGTTTGCCGTTTGTGTTTCAGGCTAAAGCGCCCGCCCTGGAGGTAGGAATTAAGGGTCCGCCTGTTCTTCTCTCGTCTTCTCCGTCTGTTTTATCTATACATATCCCTCTTTTCTTCTTCTGTTTTATTCAGTCTGTTCTCTCTTTGTTCTTTTCACGTTTTCGTTTGTTCGCAAGATTGAAGTGCTCACCGATTGTCGACGACTACTTAGTTAAACGTGTTTCCCAATCCACTTTTTGCTTAAAAAAAAAAAAAAAAAAACACCACCTCCCTTCCATGAAAATCTCGTTGTAACTTTTCCTGTGACGGAAGGTCGTTTAGGGGAGCTGTAGAAGAGTATTCAGCCGACGAGGTTTTTCTTCTCCGACCATGTTGCGTTTCTTTTTTTTTTTTCTTTTTTTTGTGATCCTCGATTGATATTAGCGTGAAGACAGCATGTAATGTCGCCTTTTTCAGTCAGTAGAGCATGCGTCGCACAGACCTAGAAATACGTCGTAGGAGGCCTATACAAGTGGAGCAAACATTTTGTGATAAATGCACGCAATTAAGTGTGTCGTTTGGAGTTCCTCAATTTTGAGGGAGCTTTGTATTATTATGCGGGCCAGTAGACAAGTGGCGTAGGCAGGTTTCGTGTGATTAGAAAGCTACGCTAAGGTAGATGGTAGCCATACCAAATTCGTACTAATGGTGTTGTAGTTAAATTAAGCACACCACATGAAATATTTCTTAACAATTAACTGTAAAAAAAAATAGGAATTTTTATTATCTAGTAAAAATCCCCCTTTTAAATATACGGTCGGAGATTCGTGTTTTCAAAAGAATATTTCGATCATGGGAGAAGATATTCTCAAATACGGTTCGTAATATTATACTATTTTATTGCATTGCTATATCACACATCGATATATTGTAAACATTCAAGCAAGTTCTACTTGGAAGAACAATTCCACGGAAAAACAATGACGTAGGGTAGAGCGGGGCTAGTTGTGACACTTTTTCTTTAAATTATTCACACATAAATCATCACACAATTATGACAGACTAGTTGTAAATCCTTTAAAACGTTGCATGTTCATTTGGCTCAATAATTAAGTACTTTATATATAAATCCTTAATATTATATATATCTCGTAAATAAAAAAATAATTACGTTAATTACAAGGATGCAAAGTGGACCAATATGCCCCATCTATGGGGCATGTTGAACATCCTCGAAGGATAAGTTGAGCTGTTTAATGAGGTTATATATTATTAAAAACATGAAAGGATTATGTGTATATTAATCAAATTTTTATCATTTGTATCTTAAATATAATAATTTGTAATATTCTTTCTTTTTAAATACTTTAATTGACAAAATTAGAAAAACTAAAATCTTTACTCTTTATATTTTATTACAATAATAATAATTAAACGTAAAATATATGTTTAACCGTTAACATAGAATAAAAAGCATTGATAAAGACAGATTTCATATAAGCAGCTGAGTTTATAAGGTTAGTTATGAGATACTGGCCCAACAAGTCCCATATCCCAGGTGTTGACTGAAATACTTTTTTATAACTGAAAAACCGTAAATAAAATAGCAACTTAAACATTAAAGTTAAAAAATACGATATAATAACTTATATCCAAAAAACATTTGATTATTATCAATCGCTTTAATTACCATGTAGACTAAAAAGAAAGAATACTCACCTAATAATTTTACTTTTGATATACAAAAACGAAAAAGCGCACGTACACAGAGAGAAAAATGTTTGGTATTTGTAACTATAATTATATATTACTATAATTATGATTATTACTGCTATAATAATAATAACAGTAACTATAT